AAATATTTTATCAATGAACAACAATAAAATCGTATTGGAACTATAATTATTAATGATTTTTACGTTTGATAAATGAACAAACATTGCCTTCTAATATAATTAGTAATTAGAAACAAATATATGTTAGTTATAGTAAACAAGTAAAACAATTAATAAGCTATTTTTTTAAATTATCAAATGGAATATTTAAAACAATTGTTATTAATAATTAATTTAAATGTAACTTGGATTATTTGCTTTATGGATACAACAAAATTATAATTGACTCATTGCTTTATTCTGTGTTCACAAATTACTGATAGACATGCAACTCGCTGCCAACGCGTATATATTTTATTTAATAGCACATTAATCAACCGTAATTAATTTACTAATCGGATCTGCTCTGTTCGCAACATAAATATCGCTGATTTGTTATATTAAATTAATTATTTTTTATCATTTTCATTGCGTTCCTATTTTAATCAAAAACCTCAATAACCGTCATTTATATTAATTTTAATAACGTGAAAATAATATACAAGATAAATTATATACTATATTTTATAATTTATGTTTATAAAAGTCCATTAGTTTAATAATTATTAGCAAAAAAATCATATATATTTTTCTATGAATGATTAAAAAATGTATATTTTGTTATAAGTTTATGTTTTTTAAACCAATAAAACTATTAAGATTGTCATGAAAATGGCATTATTTTAATCTGAAAGTCTTATCTTTTCTTTAAATGCAATTAAAACAAAGCCATTCGAGTAAATTGCACACGTAACCGGAGCAAAAGTAAATCCATCATGATTGTAAGATAAGATAGGAAAGGTTAAAGAGAAAAGTTATTGAAAGAATTAAAGAGAGTTATCGAGTGGAGGTAAATCCTTAACTTTTATTCTTACTATTTTCCAAAGTATTTTAAAACTTAATTATCAATTTATTTACTTTAAAAATATTCCCTGGTGGGGATTTAGTATTTAAATTGAAATATTCGTAAGTGACAATATTCTATGAATATTATTAGTAATATTATCATTGAAAGATTTTTCTTTAGATTTATGATACCTATAAGACTTTGATCATCGTCAAAGAAGTAAAGTTAAAATAAAGTTTGTAAACCTAGATTGAAAGAGACCGAAGTGAATTTAAAATTAACTACATTATTGAATGATCAGTAACAGATGAAGAGCAGGAGTATCCGAAATCCCTAAAGCAGAAGGGAGTTTAGTCGGTGGCGCGAACTCCAAGTAACATGTCTAGTTTAATGACGTTCTTTAAAACATGCGGATACAAAAAAATGGTGCTAGGACTTTTCATAAACCTCGGTAACTATGATGAAACACATGTCACCGTTCTCTGTGCTCCAATATCGCATGCCAAGTTTAGCAAACTGCTCGCAGCACGAAATTAATATTTCATTTAACTTTCGGGATTAATGCATCAAACTTCCGAACACTCTTTTTATCCCTCCCTCTCTCACTCTCTATCGCTGCATGGAAATAATGAACTTCGGATGTCAAAAGCATTATTAACGTAGAAATGCAATGTGCTGGGAAACAACGTAATCGGTGCATGAAGAGAACTATACTCTCTCTGTATTTCTTTTTTTTTGTTTAGCTTCGACATTCTTCAGCTAGAGGCTAACGACTTACATGTTTATATTACACCAAATGTAAATAGACTTTCGGTTCGCTTACACTTGAAACTAAATGGGATAACAAGTTGCGAATGCATCAGCTTTAATTTTATAACGAGGCCAAGATTCTTGAAATATTTCGTTGGCTCTCTTGCATCACTGCGTTTATAAATATTAAAACAATATAGTAGTACTATTTATTGCCTTCGCTTTATTATTGTTCTACATGAACTTCAATACGAAACTGAACTTGGAACTCAGCCAACATATCTTTTTTACTTCTATATGGAAAATATTGATTTAGACAGAATAAGAACTTTCTTGTGTTCATTTTTTTTATTAATTATTCAGTTTAATATTACTCGTTTTTAACTATGCTATTGATTGATAAATACAATGAATTATAGATATAACATAATTATGTAAAGCACGCAAATTACACAACTTAACTAACTTTATAAACTTAAAGTGCTTTTCGCAATTCCAAATAATGAGTCTTTGTTGTAT